GGCTGACCTCACACCTGTAGCCCCTGGTGTGCCAGGGGGCGCACGGGACCTGGCAGCCGCTCGGGGGACGGAGCACGTTGAGGGGCCGCACATGTTGGGGGACCGGTGGTTGAGGCCGGGTGACATGGACTTCACAATCTCGAATTATTTCCGCTCCGTTCTGTGGGTAAAAGCAAGTTTCCTGGTCCAGCCCGTCCCCATGGCATGGGGGTCACACGCGGCCAGGAACACTGGGCAGTGATTATGTGGCGCCATCTTGGATTCTGGCCCCCTTCCCCCCTGGCTGACCGACAGCCTCCTCGCGCTGCCAGTCCTTGCTGCTTCCTGTCCAGTAGGGAATATGCTGTGGGCTGATTGCGTGGGGTTTCTGTTCTTTCCTTTTCCAAATGGGATTTTTAAAGGGTCACAGTCATCCCACTGTGAACTGGGTGTTTTGAAAGCGGCAGTCATTTGTCACAGGACGTATCTCTGGGTCCGGAGGAGAGAGATGGAAACGGCCCACAGATCCCGGGCTCAGTGCTGAGCAGGCAGTCCCTGGAACTGATTTCAGATCGCCTCTCTTCCGGGGGGAAAGGAGAGTGCACAGTACAGCTACAGATTTGGGGTAGGAGCGTTTAAGATCGTCTGCAGGAAAGAAGGGAGTGTGGGTGGTGTCCGGGAGGGACACAGCCCTCCTGCTTCCGACACACCCTGGCTTTCCCTTGAGCTCCCCTCTGCCCTGCTTTCAGCCTGTGGGGTTTGGGTGAGGTTGCCCCCCTCGCTGCCCCCACTCTGGGGGGGGCCTGTCATTTCATTTATTCGTGGAGAATGAAAGCAAAGCCGGAGAGAAAGAGAAGTGCCCTTGAGAACATCATCTGAGGCTCCAGATCTGGCTAGATCTGAAGTGGAAATCATTTCTGGAGCTTCCCCGGTACGTGAGTCAGTAAACTTCCTTAAACACGCACACGCACTCCCCACCCCCGCCCCACGCTAGCTCACATGCGGTTTCTGTTATTGGTCACCCAGAATCCTGGCCGCCTTGCTGTCTACATCTGCCTAGGAAGCGATCTGTGATCTATAATCTAGCACAAAGCAGAGGCGAGGGGCCACCTCAGGCTGTGGGCAGGGCCGGCCTGGGTGCTCTGGGCACCAGGACATTTTGGGGGGGGGTGGATGGAAATGATCTTTTGGGGGAGGTTGGAAACATTCCACGTGCTGATTTGGTGAGGACGTGGGCATTCATACACGTGTCAGAGATCACGGCACTATTTATTAAATGGGTTTGTTTTATTGTATGGAAATTCGACCGCAATTAAATCAATCACAAAGATTTGTGTGTGTGTGTGGATGAAATCTGCCCGAGTAGGTAAGCCTTCTCCGGAACTGCCAGGAAACTTCGCGCTGGCGTTCTGACTCACTGAGGCAGACTTTTCCACGAGTTTTCGTTTTGTGAACTGTGCCCTGTTGTTTTCTCCAGGCCGCGCTGGCTACCGTCCAGTGCCCGCTCGGCTCCGATACCCTACTTGGGCCCCCCTTCCGAGCTGCCCCGGTTCGGGAAGATCTCTACAAAGCGTTTCCGTAGCTTCCCGGCCTTGTCACCAGCGTCTTGAAGGGCGCATTTCGTCGGGCCGGGCTTCTGTAGGGCCACAAATGACCCATCCCCGCCCCCCCCCACACACACACCTTCTAGATGAGCCTCACGGCTCCTGGGGAAGACGCATCACCTTGGCGGAGGATTCCGAACCAAGATGTGCATGTGTGAAAGGATCTCGCACTTCAAAAATCTGGCCCAGGATATAAACCCCAATTATCTCAAAACCTCAGTGGGCGGAGGCTCGGGGAAAGCTGGGTGGATGCCAGAGGGACATGGTTTCTTCTCAGGAAGACGGGAGGTGAAGACAGGAAGAGGCCTAGGCTCTCAGGCCCCGCGCTGGGCTGTCTGTTGAACACTTGTCCTTCCCCATCCCCCGCTCGACTTGGCCTCCGGCTTTGGTCTTGAACGATGAGCTGTGGGCTCCAACAAGGCCTGTCTGGGTTGAACTTGGGCTGTGACAGGCCCGTCCTGTCTACTCCACGCGGCGCTCCCGGACCCTAACTGGCAGTGCTTTGCTGGTGGGGGCTCCCAGGGCCACCGAGCATTAGGACGATGAGCGTGACTCCGCAGTGGGTGCTAACAGGCCATCCCTTGGAGCCCTGCTGAGAAGATTCCCTGGTTTTGCAGGTGCAGCTCTTAGCCCAGGGCCCATCGCCTAGTCTGTCCCCTGTAACAGCGTGGGCTTGACTGTTCCCCGGAATGTCCCTCCTTCGGGCTCCCCCACTGCCTCCTGTCCGCCTCGCCCCTGCCCGTGCTTCACCAGGGATTTAGTGCCTGAGGCCTGTGCCCGGCATGTGACCAGACCCATGTCCCACGGCTCGTAGGTGGCAGCCCCCGTCCCCCTGAGGCTTGCTCTTGACTTTCCAAATTTGGCCTGTTGGTTGTTCGCGTCACCCAGGAGCGTGCTTGTCCACTGGCTCATCTCTGCACCGATCGCCACGGAGAGCGCGGCCGGCAGCCCAGCCCCGGCCTCTGCACCCCCCACCCCGCAGAGCCCGCGTGGCCCGGGGTGGTGGAAAGTCGGGTTTGGTAGCCGCTGGAGCAGCGGGGCAGGGGGCCAAGTGTGGGTCCTCGCCCTTCCTGCAGCCTGCGGGCTCCTCGGCAGCGGTGCTGACACCCACTCCCTGAATTCTGCTGACAGAGGTCATCGGGGGTGGGGCAGACCCCTTGCCCCAGACAGTCCCAGGTGGATTTCCGTGATGCTCAGGGCCTCCGCTTCCTGCCTTCACCAGACACCCAGGAGAAGGAGGCTGGGGGTGGGCCCAGCTGAGCTGCCTTGGGAGGGGTGGGTAGCGAAGGTGCACCTGCCCCACCCCTGCAGTGAGCTCCCCTCCCGGCCCTTTAATAATTAAATACCACAGGAGGGAGGAGCACAGCGGCCTAGGCTTCTGCTCTCCTGGTCCGCTGCGTGCCTCCCCTCCCTTAGCACAGAGGAGAGGGGGTCCGGGCGGGGCGGGAGGGGGTGGATATGCCGTGCAGGCGGGACAGGAGAGGGCGTCCAGGCCGGGAGATTAGAGGGGAGGAGAAAGCTTGCTCCCTGGAAAGTGTGTAGCGATCCGCACCTGCGAAGGGGCCAGGGGCTGGAGAGGCCGATCCCCGGAGCTCACCACCCCCCCCAGCCCCCCTCCTCCGCCTCCCCGGCCTGGCGCCCACGAAGCCCAGGCTCCGCAGCGAGCGAGGGCCGCCTGCCCGTCTGCCCAGGGCCTGGGTTCTGAGCTGCTGCCGCCGGACGTGGACAGGGAGGCCCCTTCAAGCCCCTGGGGGGTGGGTAGCTCCCGGCAGTGGACTCGGGGCTGGAGGCTGGGGTGGGGGCTCCTGGCCCCTTCAGGTCTGGAGGGCTGCTGGTGGAAGCCTTTCCCGGATGGGGTCCCGTTCTCACCCCCGGCAGGTGTCCTCAGGGCCCCACCTGCTACTCTGAGTCCCCAGGGGTGTCAGATGTGAGGCCTCCAACTCTGCTTCTTGCGGACTCTGGCGAGCGGGGTGTGGTGTGGAGGGCGTAGGGGGAATGGGGGTGGGGAGGATGGGGGTGGGGAGGGTGTAGGGGGGATGATGGTGCTGAAGCTTCCACGGCATAAACCACACCCACAAACCAACCAGTCAGAAAGCCCTATCAGTTCCATCCCTAAATATCCTCAATTCTGTCATTTCTGCTTCATTCCCACTGCCCCTGCCTTAGTCCAGGCTCTTGCCATAGTCCTATTTGAACTTTCAATTCCTAATCCTTCTCACCTCTTACTGTCTACTCCCAGCACCTCTCACCTGTCTTTCACNTGTAGGGGGGATGGGGGTGGGGAGGGTGTAGGGGGGATAGGGGTGGGGAGGGCGTAGGGGGGATGGGGGTGGGGAGGTGGGGGTGGGGGATTAGGGGGTGTGGGGAGGGTGTGGGGGGGAGATGGGGGTCGGGGGCGCTCCCCAACCCGGGAGTGGGAGAGGCGGGCACACCCACCCCTGCCGTCTGAGGCTCCTCTGCCTGCAGACCCCAGGGCGTGTGTCTCTCTGCAGAGCAGCCGCCTTGATGGGAGGAGCAGCTGGGGCTGCTGGAGGGAGCGGGGAGCCGCGGCCTGGAGGGGCCTGTAGGGATGAGTCCGGCCAGCTGACCGTCACCAGGAATTGCACCTGGGGGTCAGCAGCCCCTGCTCTGGGAGCGAGTCCAGCGTCTGTGGGGGAATGTGGGCCGCCGGGCGGGAGGGAGGGCTCGGAGGGCCCGGCCGGGCAGGCAGGTGTCTCCCTCAGCCGCCCGCCCCCTCCCGGCCCTCTCCCCCCCACCCCCCTGCCGGCTTCTGACGGGGACCCTGCTCCCGACCTGGGCCCCTGGTGCCCCGGCCCCAGCTCTCCTTGGGCCCACGTAGTGAGCCGATTCCCCCTGGGGCTTCCCCGAAACGGGGCTGGGATCCCAGGCTGGACCCCTGGAGCGTCTTCAGGCGCTGGCTGGAGACTGCGGGGCGGGGGGTGGGCAGGGAGCCTCTGGCCCGAATCTAGTCGCGCTGACCCCCGGGATGGGCTCCGGCCTGTTGCTGGGCAGTAGGTAGGTGCCCCCCCATCCCCTATTCCGGGCAGCAATGGGAGCGGAAGTGGCTGCCGGACCCGGGGAGCCCTGTGCGGACACACTGCACTTACAGGCACAGGCCTGGCACTGAGTGGGCATCGTGAGAAGTGTTTCCAAGGGAGCGAGGGGCCCGGGACGGGTGAGAGAAGGCACGAGAGCGTGGCTGACCAAAGCCCCTTCTGGCAGAGGGGTGGGTACCCTGCTGGGGGAGGGAGCACGCCGGAGGTGTAGACAGACCAGCCGGGGGGGCACAAGAGCTGGGGTGCAGAGCAGGTTGGGTGGCGGCCCAGCGTGACAAGCTGCCACCTGGGCCCGAGGCCGCCGAAGGGCGCCCTGGCCACGGAGCCAGAGCGCAGACAGGACAGAGGGCGGGGACCTTGCTCAGTGCACGATATAAAACGTTTATTGATATACATTTGTTGTCTCCTGTAAAACTTGCTTTGGCTGCACGGGGCCACTGTGCTGGTGGCCTGGGGTGGCCGGGTGGGGCCGGTGCCCCCTTCCGGGCGGGGGCTGGAGCCCAGAGGCTGCTGGACAGGCCGCTGAGCCCCGAGGACCGGGCACACGGCAGCACAGACCTGCCGCGCACTCCGGAGGCGGCCCGGGGGGCTGGCCGCCTGCAGTCAGAGAACAGCATGACCGGCCCCCAGTGGCCAGAGCTCTGTCCCGGCCGGCTGCTTGCTGTGACCAGAACCGCCCCCCCCCACCATTAAAGTCACCAAAGGATTCATGGAGGGGGCTGGGGTGTTGTGTGCAGAAAGACTGAACTCCAAGGCAGGTTAACCAGAACCTTCTCCCAGATAGCACCATTGCGTTCAGGTCAGCTCACCAACATTGCTTGGATTGGACGGAATGGACGGAGCAGGTGCCCTAGCGGGGGGCGCAGCTCCTACCCCAGGGGCCACCGTGCGGGCTGTGTCGTCTTCGAGGAGGGCTGATGCTAAGGGGCGGGAGGGGGACGGGCCTGGGTGACCCCCGCCTCCCTCTCCTGGCCATCCTGCGGTGACTTCTGCACAATAGGCCTTTGGGCGCCGAGGAGAATGTTTGGGGGGGTCCGTCGGGGCCGCGGGGCCTGTGGGCAGGTGGCGCCCCAGTCTCCCGGCGGCCCCGGAGCCTCCGGCCCTCGGGGAAGGCGGCGCGAGGGCAGGAAGCCACCTTCCTCCTTGCACTTGGGCACCGGGGCCGCGGCCGGCTGCTGTCCCGGGCGTGCTGGCCCCTCAGGAGGCGCTCCCCGGGGGGCTCCGCATCTCCGTGGTGAGGGCGCGGGGCGCGCCGCCCCCGGGGCCCCCCGGCTCGGCGCCGTCCCGCAGGGCCCGCTGGAAGACCGCCCTGAGTGGCTCCCACAGCCGCTGCGACCTGTCCCTCCCGGCCAGGAAGTAGACGGCCGGCTTGGCGCTGCTGTTGATGCAGATGCACAGGTCGGTGACGTACTCGGGGAAGGGGGCCGGGATCCGGAAGGCCCAGAAGAGGAACCAGTCGATCCCCAGGTAGATGGAGGACACGAGGAAGACGGAGACCACGGCCAGGACGACGCGGCTGAGCTCCGCGGGGCGCTGGCGCCGCCGGGCCCGGCACCCCTCGTGCACGACGAGCCCGAGGCAGGGCAGCGCCATCAGCGGGCAGGAGACCGGGAAGAGCAGGAGGCCCAGGAGCGCGTCCGCGCGCCCGCAGGCCGTGCCCGGCGCCCGGCGGCCCCGCACCGCGCAGGAGTAGTTGTGCAGCGCGGTGACCAGGAGCGACAGGCTCCAGAGCAGCGCGCACACCACGGCCGACAGGCGCCGGGGCCGACGGCGCCAGCGCCGGCCGGGGACGAGGACCGCGGCGCAGCGCTCCGAGCTGATGGCGGGCAGGAGGCTCACGCCGGCGACGAACGTGCAGAGCCCCAGGAGCCGGCACGCGGCGCGCACGTAGTCAGCGAACGGGCCCCGAAAGGCCCCCGCGTTCAGGACGGAGAACACGGCCTTGCTGCAGAGGTAGCCGGCGTCGGCGGCGGCCAAGTGCAGGAAGTAGACGGAGAAGGGGGTCCTCTTGATGGAGAAGCCGAAGAACCAGAGCACCAGCCCGTTGCCCACCAGGCCACAGACACAGAGCAGCAGGAAGATGTAGTTCACGACGGCCGGCGGGGGCAGCTCGCTGATCTGCTCGAAGCTCAGGAAGCCACGGCTGTGGGGCTCCGGCGCCTCTCTCGCGTCGGGACACACCTGTGCAGGGGCGGAGGGGAGGCACCTGTGACGCTCGCTGCGTGCCAGCCCCCCCCCCTGCACCCGCGGCCGCCGGTCCTGGTTAGAGCCTTGCCGGGCCCCTGGCTCCGCGGCAATGAGTCGGCTGTCAGCGGAGCAGAAGCCACCCCCGTTCCCGCCTGTGCCACCACGCTGCACGGCGGCGTCCCGGAGTCTGCAGCCAGCAGCCTAGAGGGGGGACAGGGGTGACACCAGCCCCTAAGAAACGTACCCGATGGCCCGCCTGTCAGAAGGGACTCTGGGCAACAAGTGTCCTTGTCATGAGAGAGTAAAGAAAGCCCGAGGGACCTTTCCAGGTTGAAGGAGGACGTAGAGCCACGGCCACAAAGGCAGCACGGTGTCCCGGGTTTTATAGCGGCTCCAGCGGCTGCCGGGGAGGGTGTCAGTGAGGTGACAGGGAAACGTGGGTACCGACTGCGTGTCCTGGAATTGCGCCACCGCTGAATTTCCTGAATGGGAAGATGCGCCGTGGCTCCGTCCCGGAATGTCCTTGTTCTTAAGGGGCACGGGCTGTCCGGGGACAGGGGGGCCTGATGTCTGCAGCTTACTGTCCCACAGTTCTGGGAAAGAGTCTGTCGTGAGAGGTACGGAGGGAAAGCACGCGTGGGGAGGGGCTAACCGTGGCCTGGCAAAGGGCGTATGGGTCTGCATGTGCTATTCCTGCCCATTTTCTGTACATTTGGATTTTTCACACCAAAACATGAAAATATTTAAACAAATAAAATAATTGGGGGCGCCTGGGTGGCTCAGGCGGTTGAGCTTCCGACTGTCAGTTTCAGCTCGGGTCAGGAGCTCACGGATCCCGAGTTTGAGCCCCACGTCGGGCTCTGTACCAACAGCGGAGCCTGCTTGGGATGCTCTCTCTCTGCCCCTTCCCCACTCAGAGCACGTACTGGCTGGTGCACGCACGCTCTCTCTCAATATAGAAATAAATAAAAGTAAAATAAGATGATAAAAGAATTGGGGGCGCCTGGGTGGCTCCGTCGGCTGAGCGTCTGACTCTCGGTTTTGGCTCAGGTCATGATCTTACGGGGTTCATGAGTTCGAGCCCCAAGTTGGGCTCTGCGCCGGCAGCTGGGAGTCTGCTTGGGGGCCTGTCTCTGCCCCTCCCCCCTTGCACGCTCGCGATCCAGCATGTGCTCTCTCTCTCTCTCTCTCTAAAAAAATAAACAAAGTTAAGAATAAAATAAGTGATTGTAAAAAGTGGACCCGGGCCCTAACCAGAGCAGGACCGTGTCCCATAAGGGGATCAGAGAGGCCTGGGGACTCAGAGACAGTCCCCGGAGGGGCCAGGGTGACTCTGGGTTTCTGGACCACAGGGATTTGGATGGGGGCCAGTGAGTCCCCGGGGACAGGGAGACACTGGAGGCTGCAGCTATTTATGAGGCTCTGGGGAAGCACTGATACTTGAACAATCTGTGGCTGACTGAGTGCCCCGGGCTGGGTTTCAGTTGGGCCTGCTGGGTCTGGGGTGGGGATAAATGCACGGGTGGCCGGGTGTGGGGGAGGGGTGGCAGACCTGAGCAAGGTGGGCTCTGCTCCGGCTGGTGGGTGCTGGGGGGTGGGTCTGGGGGCAGCGGGGGACAGGACCCTGGGCCGAGGGGCCGGCATCCTTTCCCCAGAGAAGCTGGAGCTCTGGATTGTAACGTGAACTCCCCTGATCTTTACATGTTTGCACTTAAAAAACATCCTGTGGGCCAAACACAACACATCTACAGGCTGCATTCATCCTCAGGCTGTCATTTTGACCTCTCGTTCCAAGTGACAAGGCTGCCCAGAGCCCTGTCACCGCCTTCTCTCAGCCCCGGAAGATATCACTAACCCTTCCCACAGAGCCTGGACCCGACCCTCGACCCCCGCCAGCCCCCCATCCCCCAGGATAATGCTGTGTCCTCACTTCCCGTCGCTGTGACTCTCCCCACAAGAGAACAAACAGAAAAGGTTTTCGCGGCTGGAACATTCTGCCACCTTCCAGATGGCCCCCAGCTCTGCCAGAAAGCTGGGGCCTGATACCCCGTAACAGAGGGGGGCCCTTCTGTCCTGGCTCCGGCCGAGGGCAATCTGCAAGCAGGGACTGGAGGGCACTGGCCAAACTTCCGGGGGAGACTCTGCGAGGTCAGGGGGTCCTAGTCACCATGCATCATCCTCCAGGTAGTTCATTGGCTCAGGTTCTCTGTCTGTCTGTCAACCAAGTCCCTTGGTTTGCTCTTCGCTCAGCCCTTCATGTTGGTGGCTTTGACCTCATCGGGCCATGGAGCGCCCCCCCGCCCCGCCGCCCCTCAGCTGGGGCACCAGACGCAGAAGCCGCAAGACCCAATGCCCAGATAGCCCACGCAGGCGGATCACCGAGAGCTTCTCCAGGCTGGAAAAAGCCTGCAATCCCCCCCCCCCCCCCGTCGGAGTCAGAGCGGGAGGGGGTGAGTCACTGGGCGTGTACTTGCATCCCCAGCCACATCCCGTAAAATGCCTGCCCTGGAGCCTGTCCCCTCAGCCCCCCCACCCAGGGCTCTGTTTTTCTCTGGAGATTTCTGGGGACTTCTCCCCAGCCAGTCCCATCAGAGCCGCTGCACCACGGTCACTCTGGGCGGAGGCTAAGGGACACGGGCCCTGGCTGGACTCTGGGCCCCGCTCAGACCTCGGGGCTCACCCTGGTGTAGTTACGGGCCTGTCTCAAGCCTCGGTCTCCCCCAGTGTGGATGAGGACATACTAGGTAAACTCGAAGGGGGTCCCTCCAACCCGGAGATTGCTTCTCCTGCGGTTTAGAAGGAAATTCCAGAATTTTCAGGGACCTCAGAGAAGTAGGGGGCTGGGAAGAGAAGGAGGGGTGGGTTGGCCGGATGTTGTCAGAGTCTCGGCCCCGGCTGGTGCCCGGACAACCAGACCCTGGCCTCGCAGGGTGACCCAGAGCAGGCGTGCTCCGTGGGGACACAGGACGTCAGCGCCGCCTCGGAGCAGCCTCTCAGGGCCTCCCGGCAGGGCCTGGCCGTGGGGAATAGCTGACCACCCATCTCCACGGGGAAGAGACAGGACAAGGTGGCAATGGCTCGCGGGCTCTGCACAGGGCGGGACTGGGGGCTTCGGTCCCCGTGCTTGGCTCACAGATGAGGACACTGGCGACCTGGGGGGACTGGTAACCAGTGCCGCCCACCCGTCCTTCGACAGAGGCTGGGCCTGGGCGGCAGATGCAGGGGGAGGAGGTCCTGGGCGCGGTCTGCTGCTCCCGCCACACCCGGCCCACCAGCGCCTGGACCCCCCTGGCGCCCAGAAGCACTTGCCTTGTCCCTGCCCCCAGGATGGGTCTCCCAGGAACAGTTTCCCGCCATCTCCGGGCCTGGCGCGTCCAGACTCCTCCCAGCTCTGCTCCTGGCTCGCGGCCCGCACACCTCTGGCAAAGACACAAAGGGTCACGTCAGCACAGCCGTGTCCCGCCCGCCCAGAAAGCCCCCTCCACCTTCCCGGTCCCTGTCCCCAGGCCCCAGGGGCTCTCCCCTGAGAGGGAGAGGCTGACAGGCCAGCACGTGGCCCCCTCCGGGCAGGGCCGTGCGGGAGGCTGAGAGGTCGTCCTGCTGAGCACAGGACAGGTCGCAACTGGACGCGCTGCCCCTCCTGCCTGGGCTCCTTGTTCACCCCCTCACAGTACCCTAGACACTCACTGCTGCTGGCGGGGGGGGGGCGGGGAAGCCCCTCTCCTCCCCCCTTCTTGCTTGATCTGTGAGACTTGTGGGACCAGACGGCTTCTGGGGATGCACACTTATACCCACACGCATTCCCTGGGCACCTCCTTCACGCCGGCCCGTGGTGGTGGCACGGGGGTTCCTGGCTGGCAGTGCCAGCCGGCCAACGGCCGCCATCCCTTTCGGTCTTCATTACCAGCTAGGAAGCAGGTAGCACTCCTCCCTCGTGAGGGGTGCTCCGGGGCGGGAGGTGAGGTCCCCTGCCCAGGGGTGCACACGACAACAGCATGACCCGCTGCAGTTTCGGAGATTTGGAGCATCGTTGAGACTAGAGGGGCCGGGCAGCCGGAGGGAGCCAGCGAGGGCGGCACCGGGGGGTGGCCTCAGCTCCAGGCTGGAGGAAGGGCAGCTGCACTCAGCAGGGCCTGCAGGTCAGGAGGCCTGGGAGGGGTGACGGCGGGGGAGGGGGCATCCCTGCAGGAGGGAGACTGCTCCACGCTGGCCTGGCCGGGCAGAGCTCCTTTGGTCCGTCTGCCCCAGGTCCCCCTTTGAAGGGACTCCTGTCCCCCAACGAGCTCTGCTCCAGCAGGCAAAGACCTGTCCCTCCCCCTGTGCAGGTGGGGAAACTGAGGCTGAGCTGCACGCGCCCCGGCACCCCTCTCCGCGTGGAGGGAATGCTCAGCAGCTGTTGCTTCTCGGCCTCCCCTGGAATTCCTTCCCGGCCGCAGCTGGCCCTGCGCGCTCCCAGGGCAGGGAGGGGGGTGAGGGGCGGGCCGGGCAGGCGCGCCCGGTCATTGGCTGAGAAGGGGGACCGTCCCTGCGCCTCCTGCGCCCTCTTTAACGCTGGGCCCTCCAGCCAGGCGGTGGTGGGGGCCGCAGGGAACAGCGCCTGCACCAGACCCCTGGCCCACCGGCGGCCTGGCTCCCTTCCCGGCCCCGCCACCCACAGCGCCCTTCCGCCCCAGGCCCTTGGACAGCGCGGCCTCCGGGCTGTGGGCGAGCGCGTGTGCGCCCGGCAGGTGGGTCCCAGCGCGGCCTGCGAACCAGGTGTCTGTCTGCACAGGGAGCGGGAGCTCTCGTGCTCGGCAGTAAGTGGGCGAGCCCGCGTGCGTGTGCAGGTGTGCGTGTGGCGAGCAGGCGCCGTGCGGTGCGATCTGCAGCCCCACACCCCCTCCTTACATCACCTGGACTCCAGCCCCGGCCTTGGTCCCCACTGCCTCCGCCGGGTCATGCTTACCCACACCCTGGGGCCCCCCTGCCCCGCCGAGTCCCCATCGCTACTGCCCCTCCCCCCCTTCCCGGTCCCCCTCGCCCCTGTCCAGCGCTCCCACCTGGTCATCCTGGTCGCACACCACCCTGGGTCTGGGCCCTCGCGGCCATCCTACCGCGAGCCCTGCCCTTCCACCTCAGTCAGGCTAAGCCCCCAGTACACAGATGCCCCCCAAGGGCAGCCAGCCGGGGCCGGGCCCTGATCGCCAGCGCGGACTGGCCCCCAGCTCACCTCTGCCAACTGCCTCCACGTGTGGGTGCCCCTGGTGGGTCTCCGAGCTCTCCTGCCCCTGCCCGGGCAATCTGGAAAGCTATTACGCTCATGCAGGGATCTAGAAGCCAAGTGGACCCCAGATGGGCCACGAGAAGGCACATGTTGGACATGCGTGAGGCGTGTGTGTGAGCAGCGGTGAACGTGCGTGCTCCTCACGCACTCTTGGGGTGGATCTGGACTGTGACCAAACTGGCTTCTGCTACTGTGAGCCGGGAAAGCTGTCAGCTCAGCGCACCCCTGACCCGCCCTTCAAGGCACAAAGCCCCGTGGGGCACGGCCACCTGTCTGCGTCCTCTCCTCTCAGCCCAGCCCCCAGCTTGCTGGCGAGGGGCGCCTAAGGGGGCACGAACTCCACTTCCCTGACCTTCTTCCTGGCCCGTCTCCTCGCCGCCCCACCGGCCCCCACCTCCAGCTCACAACGGAAGAGGCTGATCTGGGGACTCGGGAGCCCACAGCGCGCCAGGTGCCATCTGCCTGGCAGACGGCGGGAGGCAGCTGCCAGGCCTCCCGTGCCCGAGCTCGCCACCCCACCGGCCGTGCGCGGGCCGGGCCGCAAGCGCCTGGGAACGGTGCGAGCCATCTCTCTGCACTTGGGGCGCTGCCGGCTGGGTGTTCCCTTCCCGCCCTTCCAGAAAGCGGACTTGGACGGCTGGCGAGGGTGGGGGCAGGGCCAGAGGGGGGCCCCATCCCCCAAGGAAGACAGAGCAGAGGTTGGACGTGGAGGGTGGCACGGGGACCCCGGGGCGGGGACCGTCAGAGCCTCGGGAGCGTGCAGGGGGCGGCTCTGCAGGGTCAGGGCTCCCTGCTCGGAGCCTCAGGACTCCTGGGGGCCGCCGGCCCTGACAGCGCCCACCTCAGTCTCCCTCCCCGCCCGCCTCCTCCCTGCAGCCCTGGTTCCCAGAACGCCCTGCCCTGGGCCCAGGGCCCCCGCAGAGCTACCTGCAGCGGCCCAGCTCCTCTTAGGTCTCTCCTTCCTGGAGCACGACACCCGCCTCTGGCCGCCGACCCGCCAGGGCAGCCGGCCAGCACGCAGCACTGCCCGGAGCCTCAGAGAACGCGAGCTCCGAGCCCAGGACAGCCCTTGCTCGCCCGCCTGCTGGAGGAGATGGCTTCGGGAGCAGAACCCGCCCCAAACCCAATTCCAGGCCCGGAGGGAGGGGGAAGGGGAGGAGGAGGGAAGGAGGGGCCGAGCCAGGGCTGGGATGAAGCTTCGGGAAGGAATGCCCCGCTCGGGAGCCCCCCTCCCAAGCCTCACTGGGAACTCATCTCCCTGCCTGGTGAGGTCATGTTGGCCGGAGCACTGCTGCGGGAGTCCAGCTGTTAATCTCCCTCGCGCCCTTGCAGCTCCGCTGCCCTGGAGAAGCTCCGCTCCTTCCCTCGGCTTCCACTGGGCATTCCGGGAGCACAGGCCTGCCAGGGGCAGGTCCCCGCCCGGTGGTTTATCTGTGCTCAGGGGCTGATACAGAGACGCCGGCAGGTAGCCCGGTGAGAGCTCCGTGGGGGAGCTGCAGGCACTTTTGAGGGGACCAGTGCCACCCAGGTGTGACCCACCCTCCTTCCACCTGGAGTCTGCCTAGGGCCCCCTGTTGGCTTATGGCACCAGGAATTCCCTTTCTCCAGACCTAATAGCAATCAGATGTCGCAAGTGGAAAATCACAGCGCTCGCGCTGGGGGTGGGGGGACTGGCGGGCTGTGCGTGCCTGCTCGGGCCGGAGGATGAGTCAGGCTTCCCCCCTACCCTGCCAGCCCCCTCAGGGTCCAGGGGCAATGAGCCAAAGCCGGAGGGGGGTGCAGGAGCCCCAGGGGGGACCGTGAGGACGGGGGGTGGGGTAGTGGGGTGGAGAGGAGTGGCTCCCCGGGGAGCCACCAGGGAGGGCACACCCCTGCCCTGGGCCAACTTTCTCATGACCCCGGGGAGCCCAAGGGAATTCCCTTCAGTGCTTTCTCTGTGGGAGTAAATGGTGCCCAGACGGGGGGCGGGGAGGGCATCCCGAAGAGAATGCAGAAGCAGAGCTGCCCTTGCACCTGCCCCGGGAGCCAAAGGCCTCCTGGCGGAACCCGATGTCCCTGGCCAAGTGCAAACCTCAGAGTCGGGGGCGGGGAACCTTGGACTGTGCCTGGGACGGCCCCGAGGGCCTTCTGGTTTTTAGGGAAGGGGTGAGGGCGAGAGCTCTAGGATGTTGAAGCTCATGGCCACGCCCAAGAGGGAGAGAGAGAGAGGGAAGAGAGGCTGGCAGGCAGCAGGCAGCGGGCTGACCCTCCCCTCCTCTCCGGGGCCCAGCTGGGCTGCTTGTTTACGTGGGGAGGCCAGGGGGGAGGCGGGAGGAGGCCGGGGGAGGCCAGATCCAGACAAGTTCCAAGTGTAATTGCATTTGGACACTTAAAAGGAATTGTGTGAAGTGGACAGCAGCTCCGAAGCCTTATTTGGTCTGGAAATTTGTTTCTTTCAGAACGAACAAGAGGTGCTCCTAGATGGGGAATTCGTCCTTTGCTTGGGTGTTCTGGGTCCCCCGGCGGGTGTCCCCGCCTGGAGCTGGGGGTCAGGGCCGCGGGGGCAGGTCGGGAGCCCCCGTGCCAGGCTGGCCCTCCGCCTACCGCTGCCTCGGGCTCTGTGTGTGGGCTGGGAGCCATTCCTTCCTTCCTTCCTTCCTTCCTTCCTTCCTTCCTTCCTTCCTTCCTTCCTTCCTTCCTTCCTTCCTTCCTTCCTTCCTTCATGCCCGGGCTCCCTCCACAGGGCTTAGGACCCGGTGCCGAGGTGACCACAGTCAGCCCCTGCATCTCACACCCTGTCCTCACGCCCTGAGCCGCCACCACCCTGCCCTCCTCCCAGTAGAAAGGAACTTTATTTTTCATTGTCCCCGGGCCAGGGGCGCAGGCCGGGACCCTCCTCTGCTGGGGCTTCCTGGGGGCAGGGGGAAAGGCTGGCGGGGCTTGCTCCCCACGGCTCCTCCGGGGCCCACAATTGCCCTGCTGCTGCTGCATGATGGGCGGGGCGTGGAGCAGCCCTCCTGTGGCCCCTCGGAGCCCGCAAGGCCGCACGGCTCCCCGGGAAGTTCTGCCATTGCTGGTATTCATTGAGCGTGTGCCGAGTGCCGGGCGCTGTGCTCCAGGCTGATGAACCACAGGACAGTGGAAGCCAAGCAGGGGCAGAGCAGGATCAGATGAGCCCAACACGCGTAAAACCACACCTGAGCGGGGGGCCAGGTAGGTCAGGAGGCCTTCTCTGAGGAGGAGATGATGGAGCCCGTGGAAGGTTGGGCAGGAGAGAGTCGGGTGAGAAGGAGAAGGAGGGCATCCCCAGCAGAGGAAACGGGCACGAGCAAATGCCCTGGGGTAGGGAGGCAGGCCGCACAGGTGAGTTGGGGTGGCTGAGACTGGCCCTCCTGGCCCCTCCCTGTGCTGCCCTCACCTTTCTGCCGCCATTTGTGCCATGCGCTCCGGGGACAGGTAGGGGCGACAGCGACAGCCACGGCTGCGCCTTCCTGTGTCCCGTGAGTCCGGTCTGGCAGCAGTTCCGTCTTTCAATCCTGCAACATCCCCCGTTTCACAGGTTCAGTTCAACACTGCTCCGTGCCAGGCGCTGTTCTAGGCTCTGGGAAGCCGCCGATGAACGAAACAGCAGTGAGCTCTGCCTGCAAGGGGCCCGGATTCGGGAAATGAGGAAACTGAGGCCCAAGGAGTGACTGTGGGTTTCCCCTGGACACCTGCACCCTCCCCCCTCACCCCTGCAGGACTTGAGCTGGGGGCTGGGGCCGCTTCGTCTCCGCACCCCCAGCACTGGGCACGGAGGTGTCGAGATATGGGGGGAGGTCCAGAGCCCCGGGATCCAGTCCTGGCTTTGCTTCTGAGGAACCAAGGGAAACTGAGCCTCAGTTTCCCCATCTGTATTACAGGAGGGCGGCGGGGGATACTTCTCTTCCATGCGCCGGGCGCATCTTTCAGTCTGGCCCCGGTAGGCTGGTCTTCCTTCTTCTCAGCGGGGCTGCTGACATCTATTTCACACACCACACGGTTCACTTCTTTAACGTGCACGGTGGTTTTGGTATCTTCACAGACTTGGGCAGCCGTCACCAGCATCTCGTCAGGGAACATTGTGTCACCCTCAGAAGAGATCCTGTACCCATGAGCCGTCGCTCTGCGTCCCCTCCCCCGCCCCTGGTGACCACGGATCCTTCTCTGTCTCCCTGGATGTGCCTGTTCTGACAGTTGACGGAAATGGAATCACACACTGAGTGGTCTTTCGTGTCTTGTTTCTTCCCCTCGGCACGAAGGTCTCAGGGTTCATCCGTGTGGCATGTGCCAGTACCGCAGCCCTTTCTATGGTGACAGGTTGGTGCCTTAGGGCCCTAAGGTTCAGGCCATGGTCTCTTCCACTTGGCTAAGATCCTCCAGGAGACAAGGCAAATGTGGGCGTGGTCTGGGTCTCCCCGGTTCATCCCTTTGCCCTTTTGGCTTCAGCTCTGTAGATTAAAATAAGGTTTCTTCAAGGCCTAGCTGGGTTTCCTGATGGGCAGGGGTGAGTAGGAACCCCTCCTCCTCTACTCTCCCCTTTCTCTAGCCAGGCTGGACCATCTGTAATGGAAAGTGCATCTTGGGAATCTATGCAGAAGCCTACATTCTCCTCTTTCCTGCTTGAGGGAGATTATTCACTCATTCGTTCATTCATTTGTTCATCCATGTATCCATCCATCCATACATCGTCTGTCTAGCCGTCCATCCATCCATCCATCCACCCACCATCTGTCCATCATCCCCACAGCATCCAGCATCCATCCGCCTATCATCCATCTGTCCTTCCATCCATTCATCTACCAACCATCATCCACACACCATCCATCCATTCTTATCTACATTTAACACAAATTACTGAACACCAGCAATGGTGCCGGGAAAAAATAGCAGATAAATCAGAACAGGTGGAAGAGAGAGTAGCTGATAAAAGAAACAAATGAACACAAAAATTCCAGCTGAGATCTATGTAGTGAGGAGGATGAACAATGTGGTGACAGAGAATGATGTGTGTGGGAGGGTGTGATGTAAAGTAATAATGGCCTCCTAAACTGCTGACCTCCTAATACCCAGGACTGAGAATATGGGACCTTACAAACCGAAAGAGACTTTGCCGATGTGACAAAGCTAATGATCTTGAGACGGGGGATTATCCTGGATCATGTGGGTGAGCCCGCACAATCACACGGTCCCTAGATGACGGAGGCAGAAGGCTCAGAGTGATGTGTGATGACTGGGGTCAGTGGGGAGATGAAGAGGAAGGTGTGATGAGTGGGGATGGTGGGGAGAGCGGGGGGGAGGTGTGACGAGTGCGTGGCGGGGAGAGCAGGGGGGAGGGGTGACGAGTGCGTGGCGGGGAGAGCAGGGGGAGGTGTGATGACTGAGTGGGGGGAGAGCAGGGGGGAGGTGTGACGCGTGGGGAGAGCAGGGAGGAGGTGTGTGATGAGTGGGGAGAGCAGGGAGGAGGTGTGACGCGTGCGTGGCGGGGAGAGGCGGTTGATGGGATGACTAATGACAGAGGTTGGAGGGATATGAAAAGGGACCTCGAGCCACAAGGGGTTCAAGTGGGTTCTAGAAGTCGTAAGACAGGAAATGCCCCCGGGTGCCTGCGAAGAGGCCACAGCCCTGCCTCTCCCTCGGCTTAGACGTCTGGTCTCCGGCTTTACGGAGAATGAGTGTGTGTTGTTTTAAGCCCCGGAACTGGTGGCTCTTTGCTGCGGCAGCGTCGGGGAGTAATACAGGAGGCCCGCCCGGCAAGGACAGTGGGACGGGAACTCTGCTCTAGTGAGACTTAGCACACAGGACACAAACAGCAGGTGCAAAGGCCCTGAGGCAGTAAGGATTTGGTGCGTTAGAACAGGAAGGGTGGCTGGGGGCAGGAGTGGGAAGGAGTGTGTGCTGAGGCTGGGGAGGTGGGTGCAGCCGCTAGCCCCCTGCAAGCCCGGGTGAAGGGCTGCCTCTTCCAGTCAAGGTCAGGATGCTTCCGCGCACAGCACCCTGGCCGGTTTCCCATCTTTCCAGTTTGAGCCTTTCTGCCCAGTTGCCAACTCCTCACATCCCTAGTGCCCAGGAAGT